GGGTATGTGGCTCAAGTAATAGAGCACATTCCTAACAAGCACAAGACCCTGTACTTCCATTTAGGAGAACAAAAATAAACCAATACGTTTATTTTACGATTTCCATGTTTAACCTTTCAATTTTTAATAGAAAATTTGTCTCATTTCAGAATGGTATACCAACTTTAAGTTAACACAAATTTTCAAATACTTGGTAAAATAGTTTAAGGACTTGAGCCAGGCGTTGGTGGATCACACCTGTAATCCTAGCTACTCAGGAGGCCTGGGCAGGAAAGTCCGTGAAACTCTTATCTCCAGTAAACCACCAGAAAACCAGAAGTGGTGCTGTAACTCAAGTGTCAGAGTGCTCACTTTGAGCTGAAGGATAGAACTCAGGCCCAAAGTTCAAGCCCCATGACTGACCCCCCCCCAAAAAAAATGTTTAAGGACTGGAAAGCAACAGGCTTTTAAATTCAGAACTATGCTCATTCTCTCTGAAAAAAATATGAAAAACATAACTACTATGTCCTAGTATAAAGTTAGCCCAATTAGCTGTTTGTTCCTCTAAGGTGTTATAAAACATCTCTGTATACTTCTATATAAACATAAATATATATACATGTATACATACATATACACTTTTCCCTGAGAAAATCTGTTCTGAAAATCAGTGTTTTCTTTATTTGAAGGAGTAATAGAGGACAGGAGAGAGTAGTGGAAGTTGAAAGATAAAGAGCAGATGATAAACAACCTTTTTCTTTTTTGGCTAGTGCTGGTGTTTAAACTCAAGGTCTCAAGCTCAGCTTGCTTGCTGGCAATCCACCTCTTGAGTCATACTTGTAGTCCAGCTTTTTGCTGGTTATATTTAGAGAGGGAGTCTTGCAGACTTTTCTTTCCAGACTGGCTTCAAATTGTAAACCCCAGATCTCACATATGTAATCCTCAGTAACTAGGAGTATAGACATGAGCAACCAGCACTTGGTGCCAAACTCCCTTCCCTTTTATGTTTTTTTGTTGTTGTTATCATTGTTTTTAGTGCTAGGCATCAAACCCAGGGCCTTGTATATGTTAGATAAGCACTCTAATTGAGCTACATCTTCATCCACAAGACTCCCTAAAAATCTACCTCACCAGGTATCAGTGGCTCATGCATGTAATCCTAGCTAGCTTCTTAGAAGGCTGAGACCTAGAGAATTAAGGTTTGAAGCCAGCTTAGACAGAAAAATCATCAAGACTCCATCTCCAACTAATCAGCAAAATGCCAGACTGGATGTATGGCTCAAGTAG